AAATATTAAAGACTAAGAGTATATGAGCAATTTTATGCTCATATATTTGAAATTCATATGAAATGGCTAAGTTTCTAGAAAAATATAACTTTCTAAAACTGTTGTATGAATGATTGGACTGTTGAAAACACTATTCTTGGCTAAAGGGACATTCTCTAAATGCCACCATCTGCACAACAACCAAAAAATAAAATAAAGATGAAAAGTTATAAGAAATGTTCTAATTTATAGGATAAACAGTGGAAAGGTTGAAAATTAAAGCTACAGTATTTAAGCCTAAGCATGATTCAAAAATCTCCCATTTCTGGTAGGAGGCTTTCAGATTTAACTGTATGTCATGAAAGCAAGCAAATGCTTATTTAATGGAAACAGCAATCATTTCTGACCCCTCTTCATCAAAACAGCTTGATTAACAGAAGCTGAGAATTTTTATAAGAAGGGACCTATAATTCTTAATATAAGATATGTCAACAGGTGTTTAGGAGTCAGAATTATAGGAGTCTGAAAATACTTGTGTTTTCAGTATAAGCTTTATACCAATGAAATCCCAGGTGCCAGCTACTATTTTTACAGAGAATTTGCTACTTCTGTAAATACTGTTCAAGGTATTCCAGTTGCTTCAAGAAGATGCCATTAGGAAAAAATCTCCTTCATTTATTCAACAAGTCAGTGTTGCCAGGCCAAGAGGTCGGCTGAAGGAATAGAGAGATAAGGAATCAGTGTGCTCACTGCCACTCTGCAAATTCCTTTCTCTCTTCCCTCCTGGCGAAACACAATCTAGTTATGCTGAAGGGAAAGCTCCATAAACATCTAGACATGCCAAGGTGGCTACAAGAAAAATAAAAGACTCAAGTCACAAGCTGGGGGATCTTTCTGGCCAGCCCCTTTATGTATAAGCAATGCATCACTGCCTTTTGTACCCAGCCCCAAAAAGGTGTTACATCATCAAAACAGACCATTCCTTCTCTCATGAGAATCAGTTCCACATGCAATAACTATGATCTAGGCCCAATATTATCTGATTTTAGACACATCATAATTTCTTTGTACTCTAGAATTTCTGTCTCCAAAGAAATACCAGAATAAATCAGGTTTAAAAAAAAAGCAACTTCTGGGGTTTTCAGTCAAGATCTTTCATAGGAATAAACATAAGTACAAAAAATCAAGGAAATCAGAAAAAGCAGCATTAACATTTCTCCAAGTTGGAATAATTCCAGTACAGAAAAATACCTGTCTTTCAGAGATTTGTAAAAGTCTTGTTTTGGACAGGTGAGAAAGTTTCAAAAGTGCCTGCCAATTATACCACTCCCTATTTCTCCTTCTGAGAATAAAACGCATTTCAGACATCTTTTGAGGACTTGAAAAGGCCACGTGCTCGGACCAGCTATATTCTGGTTCAATGACTATTTCACTAATCCATTGTGAATATATTATCCAGGAGACAGTTAAGTAACACAGTAACAATGACTAATACATTTCATTTCCAAAATCACTTTAAAACCTACTTTTCAGCCTTCAGTGAAAGAAGAAATAAAGGGTAAAAGAACACTCCAGCTGAACTCTGATTACATTCCTTTGTGTTTTGTATTTTTTTTAATTTTTTATTAAGATATTATTGATACACAGTCTTATGAAGGCTTCACATGAAAAAACAATGTGGTTACTACATTTACCCATATTATCGAGTCCCCCGCATACCCCAATGCACTCACTGTCCAACAGTGTAGTAAGATGCCACAGATTCACTCTTTGCCTTCTCTGTGCTACAGTTTTCCCTGTGGCCCCTCACACCATGTATGCTCAACATAATACCCCTCAATTCCCTTCTCCCTCCCTCCCCACCTGCCCTCCCACACCCCTCCCCTTTGGTAACCACTAGTTCATTCTTGGAGTCTGTGAGTCTACTGCTATTTTGTTCCTTCAGTTTTGCTTCGTTGTTATACTCCACAAATGAGGGAAATCATTTGGCACTTGTCTTTCTCCACCTGGCTTATTTCACTGAACATAATATCCTCCGACTCCATCCATATTGCTGCAAATGGTAGGATTTGTTTCTTTCTTATGGCTGAATAGTATTCCATTGTGTATATGTACCACATCTTCTTTATCCATTCATCTACTGATGGACACTTAGGTTGCTTCCATATCTTGGCTATTTTAAAAAGTGCTGCAATAAACACAGGGGTGCATATGTCTTTTTTAATCTGAGAAGTTGTATTCTTTGGGTAAATTCCAAGGAGTGGGATTCCTGGGTCAAATGATATTTCTATTTTTAGTTTTTTGAAGAACCTCCATATTGCTTTCCACAATGGTTGAACTAGTTTACATTCCCACCAGCAGTGTAGGAGGGTTCCCCTTTCTCCACATCCTTGCTAGCATTTGTTGTTCTTAGTCTTTTCGATGCTGTCCATCCTTACTGGTGTGAGGTGATACCTCATTGAGGTTTTAATTTGCATTTCCCTGATGATTAGTGATGTGGAGCATCTTCTCATGTGCCTGT